GATATATTTAGCTGCAAATAAAAAAATCATGTCCTATTCATATTCTTTGAATGATTGTAAAAATGTATGGGACGCGATCAATTTATTGAAATACGAAATTCATGTGACCCTATTAATACATGTTTTATACAGTGTTGACACATTAGTCGACCATTTGTCAATAGAATTATAACGTTCTGTGTCGGATGACCTTGAAAGAGGAAAAAAAAAACATAGTTATTGATTTGTAGCCCCTTAGTAATAAATCTATTATTATTCGATACGTACTGTCTATACAACTCTAACCGCTGGTTAACTTGATCAATGCACCCTTTAATTTTTTGATCAAGAACGAGACCAACTAGCAAGTCTTCAACATCTTGTGCAGGTATGTTAAGTTGCTAACATGAATAATATAGAGAAATATAAATTAATATTACATAAAGGAATCGAAATAAAAAACCAAAAATACACCTTACTTTTGACACAAACGGTATCTCTATTCGTGTGTATGGTTTAATAAGGCGAAGTAGCACTTGCGTCCTTATGTTCTTTAGAACATCGTCGATATATGTACGGATGAAAGGATCATCCATAATAGTAGCTCGATTATCTGATTATAAATGAAAATAATATTGGTTTAACAAAATTGGTTGATACCGTAAATGTAAATTCGATAACTCATGAATTTTGTACAATTTAAAATTATAATTTTGCTGACCTCTTAGAATTTTCTCGAATTCCCGAATTTCTTTGCGCTGATATGCGCTAACCAAATTAGTCATTGCAACAATTTGAGGATCATTTTTGTACCTAAATAAAAGAGTATAGAAAATCATTCCATATTGGATTCATGTAACCAAACAAATAAATAACGTACGGTTTTGTCTCTTGAGAATCAAAAGGATTAATCTGTGATTCTGTTAACATATTTGCAAGAACGAGGTACCTAAAAATCATATTCTTGTATATAAGTAAAAAAGTAAAACATAATGTATTAAAATTTTGATCCAACAAATATTAACTTACTTAAGAACTTGTATACGTTGAGGACTACCAGCTTCATCATAATTTTTAAAGGACTCGAAGAAATCGGTTTGTGCTTTGTCCCATTCCTCTGGAATGGATGTTTAAATTTAGTTACCTCTAAATAGTATATTTAATGGTATTAAATAAATAACTCACTCTCGCCCATATGCATTTTGCCACCACATTCACGAATGACACCCATGATACGCGGATGTGGAATGGCAGATTTGACGTGAAGACATTGCTGATATAAAGCCTTTGAAATATTAAGAATGTTAATATTTTAATATTTGAAAAAAACAAACAATTATATCGGCTAAATGTATGAATAATATAACCTTTAACTTCTTATTATTCTTCGTTTCGGTATACATTTGAATCTCAAGGGCGAAAATTTCCAACAAGTGTGTTCCTTTACGTTGATCATCAGTTCCATCATCTTTTTGACATGACAAATGGAGTTGACGCAGGATCTATGCAAAACGCGGATAATTATTAACGTGTCTTTGTAAAATGTTAATTTATAATTAAAATGTTTATAATGAATTACTAACCTTATTAAGCCTATTATATTCTTTTCGATCAAGCCAAAGTTTGGCCAATTTGAGATTGGTTTTAACCCATAACCTCTAAAAAAATATATACGTGTTACTATTTATATATTAATAAAGACATTTGTTTGTAAAGTTCACTAACCTCATTTTTAGCTTCTTCTAATGCACTTAAAGTTGTTGAATAAAATTCTTCCATGAAAGCCATGTCTTGGGAAGAAGAAATGAAATCCAATATATTATTTATGCTCTTTTCACTGTAATTTCGCGTTACTGCTGATTTCGTATATGAAAGAAGTTGCTTATAGTACTTGAGCGTCTATAATGCATAATGATTCGTAAATATTGTTAAGTAATAAATATATTTATATATTAAGAAAGGATCAAACGCAAAACTTACTGATTCATGATCGCTAGCTTTAAAAGATAATTTTGCCATTTGCTTGAGTGCCTTGAAACCCCTATATTTATAAAATTTATAAAATTGATTAATAAGAGCCAATGCAATCATAAGATAATAATTAAAGTCGGATTACCAATCGCCTTTCTCCTGCTCTGTATCCACCACACTCTGAAACTCTTTAATAGCACCTGTAGGATCTTCCTCTTTTCGAGCTAGATCAAACAATAAATAGAACATTAAATTAGTTATATTGCAAAAACAGAGCCGAATATGACAAATCCGAACAGCATAAACAAGAATAGAGTAATTGCTTAATATAATATGTGAAATTACCTTTTGCACTATAATATTTGTTTTCTAAATTAACGTCAGGTTCTTCTGGATCGTCATCTTCATAATCGAAGTTGTAGTCTTCTTCATCGTCGTCTTCGAGCATAAAATCATCGTCCGACATATTATAAAAAAAGTATTATTATAAAAGAATCGTTGAAAGGATAATAGAAGTAGCGTTTAGCAACTCCGCGAGTGAGCGAACGTCTTGGTTCTATACATTATATATTGTGGTTTAATCACGTGACTTGTTTGTGCGACTAGAGTTAGCGATCGTTAATAAATTTTGGTGATTCATCAAACTTGCCTTAATCTAACGAGAAAGTCATGAATTTGTCAAAAAAAGACGAGGATTCAGGTAATGATTGAACAAATAATCTTCGGTCATCAAAGGGAAGAAGTTTTCAAGATTCAATTCCTACTATAAACAAGAAACTTAGTGTTCCCTTGGTTTTATCTATCCATTTTTATAGGAGACTTGGGCATTTTTTACCATCTGGACAAAACCACCGTCCTTCAAGAAGCTCGCGTTTTTAATGAAACACCAATAGTTCCAAGAAAATGTCGGTTACTACTGACCAAAATCATTTATCTATTGTACCTGGGCGAACCGATGGCGACAACTGAAGCAACTGAATTGTTCTTTAG